CCGTGGCCTTGGTGTTATCAGCACCGCACTCTCCCGAGTGAGCCACGGGCCGGCCCCCAACCCTGGAATTTTGAACTCATGATCTGTTTGACCCTCACGGTAAGCACAAGGTGACTGGCAGTCGGGCTCCCTTCAGATGGCAGTGACACCGCCCTCCCCTGTACTTAGGACTTTCCTGCTGTACAGAACCAGAACTGTCCCGCAGGCAACACTGTCCAGGCAGAAGCCTTCCCAGGCTCCAGAGTGTGGGACAACCCCACATTCCCAGTGCACAGGGGACACAGCCCCAAATCCAAAACAGACAATAAAGACGCTACCCCAGAGCTTCCCAGGGACCATGTGCGGTGTGAGCGCTTTACCTGTCTTAACTTTTAATTCTCATGAGGACCTTACAGGTCAGTACACAAGTAGGAAACTGAGGCAACGGGAGGCTCTGTGACTTTCTCAGGTCACGTGGGTACTCTGGCCTCAGAGGCCAGCTGGTAACTTCTAAGGAAGGGTGCCCGCATCTACTCCAAGGAACAGATTTAAGACAGTGGTTTTTCATTGGCTCCTTCTCTTAGGATTTGTTGCCTCCCAGTCGGTGCTGATTCATGTGGGTTGCCTTTGTGTTTTTATCCATTTCACATCTTCACACCTGTGTTCCTGTTAGGAATTCCTTCCTGCACACCTGGCAAACTCCATTAACCACCTTTTAAAACCCACCTAAATGCCACCTCCTTCACGAAGCCCTCAGCAGCCCCAACCAGGAGAACTGCTGTTAGGACACTTGTCATACAGCATGGAAATCATTGTTTCCCTGTCTGTCCCCTTCTGGACCCAAAAGTATTTTTCCAGAGTGGGACACTTCCCAGAATCCCCTAGAGAGCCTCAAGGACATATCAAGATGTGACAAGGTGCATTCTAGAAAAGCTGCTTGGTTGATTCCAATAGCCTTGCCCGACCCCCATCCAGTTGAGACCCACTGCCCAGATGTAGAGTCCCTAGGTCAACACAAATGTCTCATTTATCAGCATGTCTCAGCACCCCGCAGAGGGCCAATGCTAGAGAAAGTGTGCAGTGAGATTGAACTTCCAAGGCTCACCTGCTCATTGCATGAAGAGTATTTCAGAAATTTGTCAGTGGGGACAGAGGGCATATCCCTGCCACAGGTCAAAGTCTTGGGCATGAATCCATCACCTACCAGACCACCATGAGACAGCAGGTGACCTTGCGGATGGCTGGGGTTCGGAAGAGGTCCAAGATGGAGTTAGAGGTGCGGACACTTGCAAACTCGCTGTGGATGTAGGAGCTCACCACCTGGGTGAGGAAAGTCCGATTAGAGAAGTGAGGGGTGTGGGACCCTATGTTCCTGCTAGGGATCCCTTTATCCGTGGGGAGGAGAGCTGGGGTTGAGGTCTCTGGCAAGGTGGCTGGTTTTAGTCTCCCTCCATCCCAGGACCGATGGCCCTCGACAGGCTGTTTCCAGGGCTTTGAGATGAAGCGGAGGCTCCAACTTGAGCCCAACACTCCAGAAGGACCCTCACCCCCTTCCTGGTATGGACTTTGAGATAGAGCAGGGGTTCCCAGTGGCTCTACCACTCCCACTGTGTGTTCTTAGGCAAATTACCTGACCCTTCCAGACTTCAGTATCCTCATAAATGAAGCATTATGAGATTACATATGCAAAGCTCTTAGCATAGGGCCTGACACGGGGCTCAATAAATGGTTCTTCTTGGTAATAAATGGTGACTACCTTATAACAAATGGTATTTTTGTTATTGATTGTCCAACCATTGTGTTTTATGATTTCTATTTTTTCTTCTTTTTTTCATTCTTGTTGACCCAGGCACCTGGATTAGATGGCCATTTTAATATTTTTATTTTACTGAAATTTCGACTGGATGTCGACGTGAATGCCAATGTGAATGTCAATGTCATTACACAGATGGATAGACTGATGGACAAAGCAAGTGAATTATTTATCCCAGATCACACAACCGTTCAATGCTTAAACATCTCCCACACCAGAGCTCTGCCTGCCCTGTCACTCCGTACGCCTGGATAGCAGGTGGGTCCTGGGAAGTGGCTAAATCCTCGTATTATGGAGTCTGCCAGCAAGGCTGTCCCTGCCCTTCCTTTCCCCCAGCCACTTACCTCTTTGGTCAGCCTTTCCCCTTCCTCCTTTCTCCCATTGATTGCAGCCACCTTTCGTAAGTTCCGCACCGCTAAATGGGACTTGCCGTGAAGGAGGAGCCATCGGGATGACTCTGGCAGCCACCTGGGACGGAGACGAGGAAGAAGGACCCAAGACTGGGTGGAGCTCACTCCATTCCCCAAACCCAAGAACACCCTTCTCTGCCTTTCAGACCCTAAAAAGAGTGCAATGTCCTCCTGTCTGCAGCATCAGGAAGACTGGGCATCATGCCAGCTTCCCTTTTTCTGCAGCACATGATACAGAGAATCACTGAACGGTACTAAGAGACTACATAGGTCTTAGAGCTTTGACAGACCTGGTTTGAATCTGGTTCTGACCTCAGCTGTGTGACCTTGAATAAATCAAGGACCCTCTCGGGGCTGTGCCTCAGTTTGCCTCTTATGAAATGCCATGGGGTTGTTGTGAGGTGGAGAGGAGTTGAAGGGAAAGGCACTTGGAATGTTCTGGAGCCCCACACTAACTAATGTAAGGGATTTTACTAAACTTCCCGATAGCCATTCATGAGTACTTGGGAGCCTGTGGTCCCCATGAGCACCTGCTATCCTTTGCATCCCCGCCCAGTCCAGCAAGTCCCAGTCACTGCACACCCCAGCCTCTCACAGGGCCAGGTGAGGGCTCAGCCACATGGGTGCATCCTCCCCCACCCTGCTCTGCTCAGGACATACCAAGAATAGAGGAAAAAGATCAGGAAGGGAGCAGAGACGGCTAACTGCAGCCACCGCCAGGGGCGGATCAGGTATGCCACGCCGGCCAGGATGAGCTGGCCCAAGGTGAAGGCGTACCCCAGCAAGACACCTGCCACGGTCCGGCCCTGGGTGGGCATCCACTCCACAACTACAGAGGAAGTGACAACCCACTCAGCGGGACTCATCTACCCACGTGGTTGTGAAATCTACCCTGCCCCCTTCATCATGACTCTGTGGCAACTTAAACTCATTCTAGAGACCCACTGAGACTCAGGCAAAGATATCTCTACCCTCAGTGAGGGTCCCACCGCTCACTGCTAGCGGGGCCATGATCTGGGGCCCACATCTCCCAAGTCCTGAACCCCTGGTGGGAGGTTTTGAGTGGAGGTCACTGGATGAGAATCCCAAGAAAACAGATCAAGAAAGATGTCCAACGAACAGGGTTAGATCCCTGCACCCACCAGCCACCAAACCGAAAAGAAAGATGTCCAGTGATGGGGCTGCCGCCCCTCTTCCTCCAGCCCCAACCTTCCCAGGCCCCTCCCTCACTGGACTCACCCAGCGAGAGGGAGTTGAGGATGATGCCGGAGAAGGTCATGCCCATCAGGAACCGGAAGACACAGTAGACACTGAAGGAGCCGAAATATGCCGCGGCAGCCCCCGAAACAGCCAGCTGCAGGTATGACCAGACCAGGGGGGCCTTGCGGCCCAGCCTGAGGCAGGGAACGGGCACAAGCATTAGGGCTCCAGAGGCAGCAGCAGCACCCGAGGGAGCAGAGCAGCAGCCTGCACCCGACCCCGCTGCCCTAGTGAGGGGCTATCAAGACAGTCCAGGGGAAGTGGGGCGCCCAGGGAAAGCCACTCCTCCAGAACAGAAATGCACAACTGCTGGGACCCAGGCACTGGTGAGGTCAGGGGAGGAGGGACATGGTGTGAAAGCAAATTTGAGATGAACAGATTTATTCCAGGGTCTGAGAAAGGCAGGAATTCTGCAAAGACCTGGAGGTGGGTGTGGCAGGTGGGAAGGGGTCGCCTGAGCATCACTCTGGCTGGAGGGAGGCCTCAAGCCAGCACTCACAGGGGCATGAGCCCTTGGCCAGTCCCAGGCTGTGAGAACAGGACCCAGGGTCGAGTCTTCATGTGAACTGGTCCCGTTGGAGAAGCTGGGATGGGGTGGGGCTGCCATGCTGCAGAGGGCTCCGAGGCCAGGAGGCAGGGTTCCCATTTGCAAATGAGGGTCGAGGGCCAGAGCACAAGGCCCCGGCTTGGCCAGGGGGGCAACAGACCAAGAAGGGGATGGGTACATTTCTTCTCCACACACCCCATGACATATTCATTCATTCATTCATTCATTCATTCATTCATTCATTCATTCATTCATTCATTCATTCATTCATTCATTCATTCATTCATTCATTCATTCATTCATTCATTCATTCATTCATTCATTCACACTTACAAAAACATTCACTGATCACCTCTAACTGACAGGCCTGAGCTGAGGGCTGGTGACATACAAGACACTCTGGGTAAGACCCAAGCTCAAATGTAGAAAGACCAGAACGTGTCATGACAGGGTGATGAGAGGCCCGGGGCTGCAGCCCAGGGAGCAATCTACACTCCGGGGTGTGAGGTCTGGAGTCTGGGAGCCTCCCCTCCTCCCAAACTGAACAGAGAGGAGGCGCCTAATGGAGGAAAGAGGGGAGAGAAGAGAGACAGGGAGGAAGGGGTGGGGCGAGGGACAGAGGCGGCGGCGCAGGAGGCGACCGCATGAGAACCAGGCCAGGCTGTCTCGGGGACCATCAGCAGCGGTCAGCACGGCTAGTTCTGGCTCATTCAAACGGCAGGATGCAGTGTGGACATTAGAGAGGGCAGGAAAGTTCTTCCTGCAGAAGTGTAGAGAGGCCTCCAAAGTGAAGAAAAAGCCACGTGCAGAACCATGTCTGGCCGTGCCAGCATTTGCATAAAAATGGGGGACAGAATACATACCCGCATTCACTGGACTATGCATAGAGTCATAAAATGTCTGTGGTAAGAGGCAGAAACCAGGACGGCCTCTGGAAACTACTTCAGGGAGGGTCAGGAGCAGGGGGATGCTTCCCAGCATGTTCTTTTGTGCCTTTTGGAATTTAAACCATGTGAGTGGATTATGTGCATTAGCTATTTAAAAATACACGAATAAGGGCCGGCCCAGTGGCTCACTGGATAGTGCGCCGCTTGGGAAGCGCGGCGGCACTCCCGCCCGAGGGTTCGGATCCCACATACAGACCGGTTCCCGCTCACTGGCTGAGCGAGGCGCGGGAGCAATGCCAAGGGTTGCGATCCCGTTGCCGGTCCCCGGTCCGGTACGGGGG